GGGCTGGGGATTCGAACCCGCCACCTTAGGTGTACGTGGCTGGCGCCTTAGCCGGTTGAGCTATAGGCGCCGAGCCAGCTTTTCCTTTCAATAACAAAAATAGGACATAGTCTAGAAAGCAAATCCATGCTTAGGATAGTCCAGTTTTCTTGTGAGATTGGATGTGGGAACAGCTTTAAGTTAGTGAGGCTATCCTGGGGCAGGCTATCCTGGGAGGTGGTTGGGGTATGACTGTCCCAGGAAAGAGGGTGAGCCCAGAGGCCTCTGTGAAAGGGAGACCAGAGCTCAGAGCTAAAGGGAGCCTGGGCACTGGGCCTCAATCCCATGGACAGAGCAGCTCTGAGTCAGAGATGTCAGGAGGACCTGGGGCCCCAAAATCCATCCAAGTGATGCCTTCCAGACCCACAGGGATGCCCAGTTGCGCTACCAACTTCCTGGGGGGCCTGATGCACCTTCTAGGCCCCCTGGGGGCCCCAAGTCTCAGTTACCAGCTTCTTTGGGGGGCTGCTAACATCTTCCTCTGCATCGGAGGAGTTGACAGGCTCCTCTGCACTGGACCACTCCCCATCGTCCATAGGGGCCTCTGGTGAGGGGAGTGTCTTGCTCCAACCTGAGAGAAGAACAGGGTCCAGTAAGACCACCATCTGTTCAAGCCAGGGTCCACGACTGCCACAGCTCCATGTCGTCTTCCCAGTCTTGTACTGAGACTTGTTACGTTGCAGGCTTCCAAGGTACCTGGCTTGCACTTGCCCTGTCTGTGAGGCCCACCTGGTAGGAGAAGTAGGCCCAGATCCCCCCAGGGTGGGTGCCCTTGTAGGTGGGAGCTGGCCCTGCCAGGCACCACTCCATGTGCACCTGGGCCCTACAGCAAACACCTTCCAGGGAAAAGTGTTTTCAGTTAACTGACAACATTCAACACTTATCAGCCCAGCAGGAAAAGTTCCAAATAAGCTCACCGAGCTGTTGACCTATGAAAGCAGGGGGGTCATGATCCTCACTGCATGGTGGGCAAACCGGGGCACAGAGCTGCTGAACCAGGAGGTTGGGATTCCCACCCCAGCCCGGGGTGCACAAAACACCTCTCTGGACTCCAGACTACTCATGGCCCTTCATGTGTGTTCCTTCTGCCAGCTGTCCCTAAAGGGGAGCAACTGAACCCCCCCATGGAGGGGAGGTCCAAGAGGATGTGCCCGAGATGCTGATGAACACCACAGATGCCAGTGGTAAGACGAGCCCCTGGCTACCTGGCGTTAAAGACACTGGACAAAACAGCACGTCAGGCAGATAGCCATCGACTCAAGCCTGGGCATACCCAGCCCCAAATCCTGCTAGGTGCACAGGAGCACGAGCCTTCCTGTTAGGAAGGTGCTGCCACATGAGGGCCACACAAGAGCCACATGGTAGATGATTGTGCCCTGCCTGCTGCGGAGCCTCGGTGGGCCAGCAACGCTTGGGAGTGGGACGCCTGTGCTGGGGAGGCACTGCCATCTGTACAGCACAGGGTTGGGGGCTGGGCCTCCAAACCAGGTGAGATGGTGGGAGGCCTCTGAGAGTCACCCTCTTGGGCTGGGCTCTGGGGCAGGGATAGCCAGGCTTGCATCTGCGTAAGAAGTGGGGACATGAGTTTCTAGCTGCCATGCTGACCTTCCCACCCAGAGCACAGGGGCGGGGGGGGAGGGCAGTGTGATGCAGGTCAGGTGCCTCTTGGCTGGGCAGTTCCTCCATCAGAACAGTGGGAAGGGGCAGCTAAGAGTGGGTCTAACTACATTAAGGTGCCGGCCTTGGTATAGGAGACAAAAGTGTGTGGGAACCCAATGACTTTGGGCTTCACCCAACTGGGACACTGGGATTTCTCACAAGGGTACTGGGCCAGGTGACCCATTGTATGGTCACCTCCATTTTCTGTAAACTAGTCCTACAGGAAGCCTTCAAAAAGACAGGGCTGAGGCTTTCTGGGACAGGCCAGCCAGGAAGACCAGAGCTCTGTCATGGGTACCCACAGGAAAGCCAGGAGGCAGATGGCTCTGACACCTCACTGTCAGCCTTTCCACCTTGTGGGGCTGAGCTGTCTTTGTGGCAGGTGCAAGCCTGAGAGGCAGAGCATGGCTGCAGCTGCATGTAACCCTGGGGAGGGAGGCTGGACCAAGCCCCCCTCCACTGCTGCACCAGTGTCCTACACGAGGAACATGTGGGGACAGTGCTGGCAGATATAGGTACTAGGCCAAAGCAGACCCTCCTAGGAGGCTGCCCATAGGGAAGGGGCTCTTCTCTCCCCAGTGCCGCTTGTAGGCTACGTAGTACTTGAGACCCTCAGGGAGCTCCTGGACTCTAATCTGTACCCGGTGTCAGTAGGAGGTCTTGGCCTGCAGCCTGAGTGCATCTGAGGACAGGAACCCACTGGCCCTGGTGGTGTGAGTGGTCTCTGGGGTGGGTGAAGGACTGGTTCTGATTATGTCTCTTGGGGCCTTGACAACATTTTTGAAAATGCAAGAGGATTAAAAACATGAAATCCTCTCCTGGCAGTGAAGATGCTCAGCCTGGCCAGTGAAAGTCCTTGGCCATCTTGGAGCAGTTTTTACCTTCAGAACATGAGGCAGGCGGAGAATAAGGCTGAGTCCAGACAGGGAGGCCCCATCCGCCTGTGCCCCTGGGAGAAGGGGCCTCACAGTTATGGCACAGCCTGTGACAGGGTCTGTGATGGGGGCCGTGATGAGCACTGTTATTGGGGAGGATGCAAGTGCCCAGGCCCTCTGAGCAGCGAGACCCACCCCATACCACCCCCCCCAACCCCTACCCTGGCTGGCCAGGTGACAGGAGAAAGGATTGCCAGCACGAGGGCAGTGGCCATGGACCTGGTGGGTCTGCTGTGAGGAGTCAGCTGAGAAGGGCAACACCACACAGGGCCTGCCGCTGAGCACTGGCTGCTGAACAAAGGCACAGATGTGCTGCTGGCCATGAAGACCTGCTCAGGGTCTCAGCCTAGCTGTCATGGCGGCTGAGCAGACCATGCTCCCGCCAGATGGGTGAGTGGCAGCTGGGACCCGAGGGTGCGTCGCTCTACCTCGCAAACCAAAGGGAGTCGGGTCACTCTTTACTTCGTGCCGCTTGGCTTTTTTGTCAGGACTGGTGGGAGAAGCTGCGGGAGGAGGAAGAGGCAGAATATAAAGGAGACAGAGCGTGAGGACTGCAGTGTGGGGCAGAGGGCACAGGGCTCATGCTGGCGGGGAGGCCGGGAGAGGGCAGGGCTTATTGCAAGCAGACGCACATCAGACCAGGGGTGGCATTTTAGGGTGTCCCTAGGTGCCTTTCCTTAGGTCTCATCTGTCAGACTTTGTAGTTTGCTTGTTTCTTTCAAGACTGAGGCCAATTTAACACTATTTTACAAACTGGAAAAGCCTCAAGAATCCCGGATGGATCCACCTGTGCCCAGGCAGCTCTGTGGCTTTATCAGCACATTTCTTTCCTGAGATTTCACCAGCTGCGAGCTGCTAAAACTCTCAAAGACATCAGGCCTGTCCACTAGCAGTTGCCCCAGAAAGGTACTGAGGACACTGACAGCACATGGTTAAAGCTCTGCTGGGGACTCAGCAGAAAAGCAAGAGAAGAAGAGGGAGAAGGGGCAGGGAGGAGCCGCACACTGTTCCTGAGCAGGCTGGGAGGCTCCTTGGCCTTCACGAAGAAAAGGCTCCCTGAGAAAATAACTCCAGGTATGCACGGGCTGGAAGCAGGGCTTCTCACGGAGGTCACAACAAGCGACAGACATGCTACTGGGGGGAGGGACTCTGGTGGGAGGCAGATGTCAGGAGGGTGCCTTTATTACCTTTCTGACCTTTGATGTTAGCAAGGCCCTGCAGGGTAAAGCGCTTTCGGGAAAGCGCAGAGCTTTCTGAGGTAGAGCTAGTGACCACATCATCTAGGAAGGAAGAGAAAGACAGAATGCAGAGGGCACCGGCGCCAGAGGCAGCACACTCAGCTGTTGCAGGAAAGAGCACCCACAGCCTGTGAGGAGGTCACATGCTAGGTCGCAGTTGGGTCATTTCTTGGGATGAATTGGGGATGCATGGTGCCTGTGAGTGAGGGGCTCCTCTGTGGGTTCCAGGGTCCTGGTGGACCTCTGTAAACCACCTGAGTTGTGGGAAATTGCACACTCCTCCCACACTGGGTACAGCCCCCTGCAAGGCCTGGTCACTGCAAACACCCACCTCTGCCCTTCTCGGGGGGCTTTGGCAATGGTGCTGGGCTGACATAGCCTTCCAGGCTCAGGGGGTCAGTTTTCCTCTCTTCCAGCTTTTTGATGTTTCTTGTGTTCCCCTGCAAGGGACTGATGATGTCGTCACACCAGAAGAGAAAGAGAAGCATGTTGCCTGGTTAGTTTGTTGGCATCCTGGGAGGCTCTCCACGGCCATGGTCTTTGAGGCCATGAGCTCTAACTTATGCCTGCAGGGAGCCACATGCAGCCAGAAGAGTCCCAGCTGGCTGGTAAGTTGGAGGTTTGTGTGGGGTTTTGATGGAGGTGTTTCACTTTTAAAACTATTGTCCTATGGATTATTTATTTAGGCCATATTATTCTGTTCCATGAATGATTAAAGGTGGCTTATGTAAGAAATAGGAAAAATAATATGAAAAAACCAAGTCAATGAGAAAGATAACAAAGGCAAAATAAGGGCAGAAAAGATAGTGAAGCTGCGGTGGAGGCCACTGTCTGAAATATGCCCACATGTACGTGGGCTACAGGCTCGAGTACAGCTTGACACATGGGTGATCACCTGCCATGTGGAAGGCCCTGAGGCAGGTGTGCCTGTGCTGGGAAACTGTCCACAGAGGATGGTCAGAGGGTCCAGGGCACAGGTCTTTGAAGCTGACCCTCTGAGACTGACCCACTGGCACGTAATCCCTGGATGAATAGCACCCTAGTGGCTATGGGCAAACCCAATACCCAGGACATGCCAATGGCCAAGGCCACATAGACTTAGGTACCCACGAAAGCCCTCCTTTCTGATGTCCCTGCAGTGCTGGTGTTTGGCCAGTGTCTGGGCTCACCTGGTGTTAGACGAGGCAGGCAGGGGCAGGCTCTGGGACTGTTCCAACGCACGGTGCTGGCTGGCCTCTGAGGGGAAAGCAGACAGACCACCCATGAGGGTGAGGTCTGGGCTCACCTGTGGGACCAGTTCCTCCCTCCCACGTGCTGAGCTTCTTGCAGTATTAGGAATTTTGTGGCTGCTCTGAACACACATGGAAGTGTGTGTGGGCACAAGCTGTGCGCGCACGACGTGGAGATGCTCTCACCTCTGCAAGCCTGCAGCTGGCTCGTCAGCACCTTCCGGATCTCGTTCACCCAGGCTGCTTTGATTTCAGGGGTTGGTGCCTGTTCCCAAGAGAAAGGCCCAAAGGTGAGGGCCTGATAAAACATGTTTTGGCATCTTCCTCTTGACAATCTTACGGACCAGCAACCAAGTTGCTAAGTGTGAGCTGTGGCCTGGCCCCTGGGCAATCCAACACCAGCCAGCGACTGACTGCAGGCCACTGCTTGACCCTTGAGTAAAAGTGGAAGAACCTGTCCTCTCTGGGACATGGTCTTGGCTCAACATTGTCTTAGGGGACAAGGAGGACATCAGCCTGCAGTCCATTGCAGATGTGACAGCACCAGGGGGAGGGCAGCTGTGCCAGGAGTGACATGTACAGCTGCGGCCACTCTCCTGCTTCATCACGGCACAAAGCCCTGCAGCTCAGGCCTGGGGCTGTGCGGGTATATGGTGGGGCCCTGCAGGTATAGTCAGCGGCTCCTGGGCCTGCTTCTGCTATGCGGGGGTGTTACTGGTGCTGCCTTCTGGCAGGGCAGCCCACATATAACCCTGGGGCCAGACCATCCATGTATCAAAATTCTGCAGGGTGCAGAAGAGGCACACCCCACACTGGGCTCAATCCTTCATGATGGCTCATAGAGGGGATGCTGCCCCTGAACCCACACCTCAAGCTCCCCTAGCCCCACCATGTCAGCCCCACAGGGCAGATACAGGCCCCGTCCTGCCTGCCACAGGACGAGTCCCATGTATTGGACGCACACCAGCCCTCTCCTATGTTGCCTGGGGATGTGGGAGGGTGAACCTGTCTCCTGGTGGTCACTCTTGCCTCCCTGAATTTGCACATCTTCCTGTATTTCATGCTGGGTCTAGCTCATGCTAAAGATAGCCCAGGGCAGCTGAAACAGTGGCTGCTCTGGACCAAACCGCATGGGAGGTTTCTAAACACCAGCTCCCACCAGAAGCCTCAAGGCACTCCCTTCCCACCTGGATGATGTAGACCTCCTCCCTGGCGTTGTACCAGATCTCAAACTTCTTGGCGTCCCCCTTCACGTTCTCCGTTATGCCGACAGCAGTCATCTGCAGGCACAGCCGGGACCATGTGAACATATACACTGAGACCAGAAACAGAGTGATGGTGGCAGCCCCCCACCCTCATGAGAGCTGAGTGTCAGTGCTGGCCCCAGACAGGTACCGCTCAAGGTGAGCTGAGCCATGAGTGGCCTTGCTTACATCCAGGGACTGCTTATAGCTGTAGGACGGTGCCTTTTCATAGCCCTCGCCATTCTCCTCCCTCTTCTTGCAGAAGAGCACGGCCTTCTCGTGCAGGAACAGGTGCCGCTGCATGGGCTTGAACCTGGCCAGCTCCTTTACCTTGGTGTGGCCCCTCTTGTGGTCTGTCCACACGCTGAAGGAGCCCTGCATGAGCAGCCTGCCCAGGTCGCCCAGGTTGCCCTGAAATGAAGGGTGAGGACATGTCACAACTGAGGGCACATGCGCCAGGGGGCCTGTCTGGAGAGGCACATGTTGCAGGGCTGCCCTCAGGACATGGGAAGGACAAAGCCCTGGAGGTGGCACAAGGCTGGGACAGGGGAAGGGCAGAGGGGAGGGGGACCTTTGAGGCAGGGAGACTCCTTTGTGCACTGCTGCCCTGGGGGGGAGGAGGATGTTGTGTTTGTCTAGGCTCGCAAAGCCCATAGTGCCAGGCATGTGGCTCACATGAACCTCCTATGGTCAGTGACAGCGCAGCAGTGCTGGCTGCCAATGGTGACAGGCACATCACACCATTGCAAGGGGTCCCCCAGGAAACCTTGGGGGCAAGGGTCATGTGCGAACTTTGTGCTTCACACGATTATTTCATAAACATGAAGCTTCTAAAAATATCAAGTCTATTAAGTTGAAAACACCCAGGGTGATGCTGAGCAGACATGGAGAGGCAGGGAAATACGGCACTGACCTGACCGGGGGAGTGAGGAAGGAGGCAGAAGGGCGAGGAAGGAGGGAGAAATCTGCCTTTTGTAGCCCACCTGTGAGTCACCAGCCCACAAACCACTGTAGAAGCTGCGCTTCTGAGGGGTCCGCCCAGATCTTCTTGAGGGGCCAGTAAGCCCACAGGTGGCAACCTGGGACTTTGGTTGTCTCAGGACCACCCTGGACTGCTGGACTCAGACCTGGCTCCTGCCAGGGCCCAGGTGGTGCGGTTACCCCAAACCTCTGAGCACTGAGGGGCCATTGAGCTGCCTGCACGGCAGACTGTGCTGCTGAGTAGGGAGAAAGCCCGGAGCACCTGGTGCTGCTTACGTCATAGCCGGTAATGGCGATGAGGTGCATGGAGTCGTTCACAGCCTTGAGAATGCCCAGGATGGAGCTGAGTGCCTCCTGCAGCCCTTCAGCCCCCTCACAGCTCTTGCTGTACTTGAGCATCTCCTGTGGGTAGGTGAGTAGGGCGCTGTCGCAGGTGCAGAGGGTGCCCAACCCTGACATGGGCCTTGCAGGTGAGAGTGGCACCCACCCCACCCCACAGGTGCTCCCCATCTGCTGTGACCCCGGCTAAAGGCAGTGAGCTGGAGGGGGCCACACATGGCAAACCCATGGCCAGAATCTCCCAGGTCAAGCCTCCCCCATCAGTGACGTGTGCAAAGCCATTCAGACAGTGGGCGGGTCAGCACGGAATTCCAGCAAGCAGAAACTTGTGGGGCCAGACTCTTTGTTTCCTGTGTCCCAGTGCTCTCAGCAGTGGTGGCCATGCAGTAGGCCCTCCACAACATCTGGACAAGCCAGGTGCAATGCAGGGGAGGAATATGGCTCAGAGGGGGTGTCCCTTGGCCAGGAGAGCAGGCCCTTCCCCAGAATATCATATCTGAGCCAAACTGGGGAGGAGTAGGTGGGAGCTGGCTGCCGGTGCCCTAGAGGCCTACCTTGAGCAGCAGCTGGTACTTGGTAATTCTCTGGACTGGTTTCAGCAGGTAGGAATCCAGGCTCAGCTTGTGGTCCAGCTTCCTCTGACACTCCTGCAGTCAACGACACAGTCATGTTGTCCTCATGTCAAAGCCGGCTGGTGCCGGGCACCACACCTGAAGGGGCAGAGATGTACCTGGAAGAACGGGCAGTCAGAGCACTGGCGCCACAGGCTCTCCGAGCGCGGCTTGTTCTGACAGTACTTCTCATAGATCTGGAAGTCCTCCATCTGTGTGGGAGGGCAGACATCAACTGGCAGCCCCCCATCTCAGAGCTCAGGAGGCCCCTGCCCCTCCCCAGGGACCGTCTTGGTCCCCACCAATTCCCAGGCTGGGCTTTCTGCTCCTCTACCCTTGGAAGGTGGTTTATAGGGTCATCTATTTAATTCATCTCATTCAACCTCTAGGGCTTTTTCTGGAAGTTGTGCAAATTACTTAGCAAATTATTTAGCAAAACCCAGATCTGAGCCCTGTGTGAAATACAGTTACTTTTGGCTATAGGGACACAATGGACCTAGGGGACATATCAGTCTAAGGGACAGAAGGTTCTAGGGCACAGAGGGTCCTAGGGAAAGGCTATTCCTGTGGGAGCCTTAGATGACCCTCTTCCTGGCCCATTTTGGGTGAGAAACGCAAGGCTGCTCCCCATTAGCTGCACCCCGGTCACCCCCTCCGTCTTCCTTTCCTGCCATGATCGACTTTCCAAAGCCATTCCTTGGCAGTGCCCTGGTCAACCCTGAGCTGGAGCCAGTCCCCTGGCTAAGACTAAAGCCAAACTCATCGACAGGTAAGAAAACCCCAGATTCACCTAAAACCTTCATTCAAAGCCTAGATACCATACAATTTCAGCATCACTGATATTTGAGTTTCAGAGTTTTTCTTTTTGAACTAGTTATTGGACTTAAAAAATTTTATTCTTCGGTGCTTCCCCAAAATATCATATCTGAGCCAAACTGAAACAGTTTTTACTTCATGACTTCAGTGGTTAGAAGGGGACCCTGCAAGAGGATTTAGAGTTGTCTTTCAGTGGCCGAGACAGTAGTGGTGGGAAACGCCTGCTCACGCACCCGCTCCAGGAAGCACCTGCCCACCAGCTCCGGGCAGTCCACGTAGCCTTCCAGCTCCCTCAGGAAGATCCTGCACAGAGAAGGCCCTTAGGTCCTGGAATTCCACCTGGCCAGATGCCATCAGAGGTGACACAGGGACACTGCTTTCCAGAGAATGTTTACACTTTGCTCTAAACAGGTCAAACCACCGTGTGGCATCAATGCCCAACTGACTTCAGACCCCTACACCCAGAAAAGCCCCCTCAGTCCCCAGAAATGCCCCCAGGCCACACTGTCAGGGTGAGCAGACACAACCCCTGGGCCTCATGTTCCTGGGGTCATGTGCACATGGAAGGAGGAGGGGCCAGGAGTGGATGAGGGATTGTGGGGCCTGGAGGTGCTGACCCTTCTCCGGCTAGGTCTGTGGGCTCCCTGTAGACATGGCCCACAGCCTTTGCGGCCAGGGCCTCCCGTCTACAGCACTGACTCTGCATGCTAGGGCTGGTTCCCCTCTAAGTTTCTGACTTGCATTTGTCCACTGGGACATCCTGGTAGGAGGGGAAGTGGCCCTGGGGTTCAATTCAGGGACGTAGCCATCTGTGCTGGGACTCAAGGCCTCAAGGGAGCTGAGGAATCTTCCGACTTCCAAGGGTTCTACCGGACCTCTGTGGGGAGGGAGGGTTCCTAGGCAGGTCAGCTGACCATTGCAGCCTCTTTTGTACATGGTGGGTAAGATGAGCTGATGACGGGGTCTCCAGTGTGCCTGAGTCCCAAGGGCGGTGCTGTAAAGTAGGGCCCACTCATGCCACCTCCTCCAGGACATAAAGCAGACGCCTCCGCCTGCTGGCCTCCCATGGTGACCACCCGACAGTTGTTCCACAGGCTCCCGAAATAGTTGAGAAAGCACTAAGACCAGCAAGGGGCCTGGAAAGGCAGCCTGAGTGTGCCCTGGCAAGTGAGGCAGGTCTGGTCTGCTGTTCTTTCCAAGAGCCACATGGGACCAAAATAGGCTTTGCTAAGTGGTGTGGCCTCTGCTGCCCCAAGTGCTACATGCTGTTGGCAGGGCCAAGGGGGTGGGCAGGGCTGCTGGTCTCCTGGAACCACACGGCATGCGTGCTCAGGGCTGTCTCCTCTAGCAGCAGCTCTTGAATGACTCGGCATCCGGGCACTCCTCAGGGAGGCAAAGGACTGCACAGGGACCCAGAGAACACCTGGACACCCTGCTTTGCCCAAGGTCAGCTGAGGGTGCACCCTGGACACCTATGCTCTGCCCACAGCCCACTGAGGGTGCACGCTGGACACCCCCACTCTATCCACAGCCCACTGAGGGTGCACCCTGGACACCCCCACTCTACCCACAGCCCACTGAGGGTGCATCCTGGACACCCCCACTCTACCCACAGCCCACTGAGGGTGCACCCCGGACACCCCCACTCTACCCACAGCCCACTAAGGGTGCACCCCGGACACCCCCACTCTACCCACAGCCCACTGAGGGGGCACCCTGGACACCCCCACTCTACCCACAGCCTACTGAGGGTACATCCTAGGCACCCCTGCTCATGCCCATGGCCCCCTGAGGCTTTGCCCCTGGAACGGCCTTTCTGGTTCCAGCTCCTTGAAGGCAGCTGCACTGGGCATGACAGAGATTGCCAAACGTGTGTGTGTGACCAGAGGATAGGCCCCACCTGTTGTGAAAGTGATAGATTTCTTCCATGTTTCCAAATAGAATGTCCTTCTTGTTGTGAAGGTCTGTTGAAATGAGATGTGTCATCAAAGGATTGTCCATCTCGGCTGCGTAGCCCTGTGGGGAGGGAAGAGGTGGGCAGGGGCACCCTGGGCTAGAGCCCATTCTCAAGATCAGGCCGTGTCACGGCAGCTCCACAGCCACCTCAGAGCCCTGGCTGTGGCCGTGGCCACATGGGCTGGGGCTGGGTGACACTGTCCCAGTGTGGGATGAGCAAATCTGCTCAGATTTATTCACTGATGATTTGCAACCCACCATCTGGAGAGCACCCAGAGGTGTAACTGTGTCACAACCAGCACTGACTTCTGTTTGAGGTTGATTTTCCCTCTCTTCCTTTGGAGCACCCAAAGTGTAACTGCATCACAGCCAGCACCGACTTCTATGTGGGGCCGACGTTTCCCTTGCTTCCTTTGCAACCTTTTATTTTCAGGTGTAGCTGATGGGGAGATCATATATCTATGAGTCTACGCGGCCATGACCACCACCTGTGCACCTGGGTGACTCAGCCATCTACACTGCCGTGACCACCACCTGTGCACCTGAGTGACCCAGACACATGTCTACGCTGCCATGAGCACTGCTTGTACACTTGGATGACTCAGACCTTCGTCTACACTGCCGTGACCACCACCTGTGGGCATCTAAGTGACTCAGACGTCCATACTGCCACGGGGACCACAACTTGCATGAGGATGGGAGATAGCCCTGGCATCCCTGGTGCCCTTCCAGGCAGTGACCCATGGCACAGGCCACCCCGTCAGATCGCTTGCGCTGGACTAGTTTTGCTTTTTCTGGAACTTTCTTCAGAAAGCTGTGTACACTCTTTGGTCTGACTTTCACTGTCACGCGTGTGGCCAGCAGCCCACATCACTGCTGTCAGACCCACCCTGCAGATTCCGCGGTGTCACGGTGCTGACACCTGAGCTGTTCCTGCTGCAGCTACTGGGAGCAGCTGCTATGAGGGTCCCCGCATGATGTCAGCATCCCTGTCTGAGCCCTGTCCCTGGAGGAGGCCAGGTGGTGGGATGGTGGGGGCCTCACCTCCAGGACGCACAGCAGCTCTTCCACATAGGCCCGTTCTGTGTCCAGCAGCTCGTTCATCACGTGCCTGGCAGGGCAGAGACAGGTCAGGACTGGGCAGGTAGACAAGGACACCATGGCCCCAGAAGTGAGGCCTGTCTCTTGAAAGGGGCTGAAAGGGGCCATGGAAGAGACCTGCCTCTCAGCAGGCATGCTCCCTGATGCTGAGGACCTGCAGCCTAGGGTAAGCGGGACTCAGGACAACATGCCCCCAGAGCAGCCACTGCCCATGTGTGGCCACAGAAATAAAAACAGCCACTGCTGAGTCACATGTAGGAGTCCTGTGCTCAGATGCCCCTCCTGGCCAGTGGCTGTGGTTGTGTACGGCTGTGGGACTGTGCATGAAACCTGGCAGTGACTGGCAGGTGGAGCCTCCTACTGGGGCTGTAGGTGCTCCCACTTGGGGCTCCCCTCCTCCACTGCTCTCATTTCACCCCCAAATTGAGCCCACTTATATGTGCGCATCTATGTGCTAGGTGTGTGGGCACCAGAGATAAATGAGCCATGCTGGGACCCTGAGGTGCTTGTGGGGCATCTGCTGTCTGCCTGAAACCCCTGTGGCAGCTCAGGTGACCTCGCTCCAGGACCCTCTTGTCTGCTGCCCACAGCCCTTGAGAGTGCGAAGGGAATGCTGCCAACTGGGTGCATAGGGTGTGACTTGAACACCATGGGGATGGTGACTTCTGGGGAGGCTCTTAGGGAGGAGGGTGCAGCTAGCGTTGGGGGTAGGCTCTGAGCACGGCTGGGGATAAAACCTGCAGGTTATAGGGACAAGTGACATGTGGTATCTCATCCCAGGGCTCTCAGGAGGTGTTGGCAGGATGCCCCAAGTGGGTGCGGGGGCTATGGAAACAATGCAGGTGTGCAAGGGAGCCCCTCGCCCAGGGGGCCGGTGGGGCACAGGGAAGGAGTAGAGTAGCCACAAGGACCCTGGGGGAGGGCAGGGCTCCTGGCCCCAGGCCTCAGGTTCTGAACTCCTAGGGTCTTCTCCTGCTAGGCTGGGTGGAGAGAATGGGGCATCCATGTCACCATAGCACACAAGTGTGGGCCAGGGGAGGACGGGGCCTTCCTAAGGAAAACTTAGATTTCTCTTCTCTTCAAACATGATGATGCCAAACGGACATGTATACCCTGTGTGCACACCCTACACACCCTAGAACACACACCACACACGTAAAAATACCCTCATACAAGTACACATCCCACAACAGCGCATGTGTGCACACCTCACAACACTCATACATATGCACACCTTAGAATACACACACATGTGCATGCCTCACACATGCACACAGCTCAGAACAGATGCACAGGTGCACCTCACCACATGCACACAATGCATATCCCAGAACACACATGCACAAACCCTGCAACACATGCATGCGTGTGCCCCCTCAGCACTGGGGTGAATGTGGTCTGTCCCTCATCCAGACACTTGCAGCCACAGGCACAGGCCCTTGTGTGGCTGGAGCACAGCTCCCACCTGCGCAGGACGGCCAGGCTCTCTTCCTCATCCCCAGCAGAGCTGCTCCGGCCCTGTCGGCTCCCGCTCATCTCGCTCTGCAGAGGATGATGGCGTAAGGGTTGGGAGATAGCCAGAGTGGTTCCAACCACCCCGACTCAGGCCAGAGCCCAGTCTTGGACAGCAAGGGGATGGCAGGTGTCCCAGGGCCTGCATGCTGGGAACAGACCCCCCAGAGAACCAGGAGCAGGAGGAGCCTCCCTAGGACACCGTGGTGCCAGCGCGTAAGAATGGCCTCACCTTGACTCTCCGGTAGGGCCCTCTCCGCAGTGTGCTGCCCTCAGAGCTGGAGTTCTCAGAACCTCGCCTCATACCTGTTCAGAGAAAGGCAGCAGAGGTGAGTCAGCCTGAGCTCTCATGTGAGAATACCAGTGAGGGCAGGAGAGTGTTTTGAGGCAGGGAGGTGACAGGAGGTGCACAGGGCTTGGCCACAGAGGAGGACTGGTGTGGGATGGGGTGTGGCAGGACCATTGTAGGCAGGCTGTGTCTTGGCGGTTGGGCTGTGCCATGGCCCCAGCTATGCAGGATGTAAATAGCCAGGGGTCTCTGGACAGAGGTCTGAGGGGAGTGTGAAGAACACCTTCTTGGCTCTGAGGATGAACAGGTCACAGGCACAAGTCGGGGGAAGTCAGAGGGGCTCCTCGGTTGTCACTGTTTTCAGTTTCGTGGGCCACACAGACATGGATATGATGCTGAGTTGGCCAGCCTGGTGCCAAAGCTGCCACAGACAACTAGTGAGTGAGAGTGGCTAAGTTTGGATCAGACTTTATCACAAGAGCACAGGACAGGCGGGAACTGGCCTGAAGGCTGTGGACCTGGCGCAGGTCCAGCCACAGGAATGGTGGGGAGGGCAGTGGGCGGTGCTGGAGGTATGTGGAGAGGTTGTGTGTGGTTTCCTTAGTGTGTCGAACTCAGTTCATGGTCTGGGGGTCCCGCACACACCTGGTGAGGGGCAGGGTGACTTTGTCAGCACCTCCGGTCTGGGGGCCACAGGCTGCACAGGCCGTGTCTGCTTGGCCGCCAGCTTCTTCAGGCTGGCCTGTCTGCGGTGGAACATCTCCTCCATGCTCTCCTGCTTCTGGAAGACCTTCCGCACGTGTTCCTGGGGAGACACACTTAGTAAGACGCCTCCCAGGAGCTGGTGTGGTAACACTGCCCAGGACACAGACGTCCTGACCAAACAAACTTTCACCACACAGTGTCTGCCAGTAACGTGTGATGCTGTGATGTTGTGACCAGCTCTGGCTGCCGTGGGTGAAGAGGGGTGCCATACCAGGAGGGAAAGTGTCAGGGCAGGGCACAGCTGCCCCTCTACTCGATGAAGGACCACTGCAGGCTGCATGAAGGGAGTGGGTTGCTTCCAGCCAGCTGCCCCTGAGGGCAGGAGCTAGAAGGCCCAGTTCTGGTGTAGTATCAAGAGGGGCCTGGCACCAGGGTCCCAGGAGTGCCACTTCCTAAGGCACCTGGCTACATCACAGAGCTGCCATGGGAAGCAGGGCATCCCCCTAGCAAGGCTGGGGTAGAGGTTACTTCTGTGAGGACGTTCCAACCCTGCATTTCTTTCAAATGCCCACTGCCCACTGACACCGCCAATGGTTCTCTCAGAAATGGTACAGAGTAGTGGGAACTCCCCACCACTTAGGGAGGCAGGGCGGCAGACGAAACCCAAGCCAGCCTTACCATCAGGTCTTGGTTGAGGATGGATTCATATTCCTTATAAATGTTACTGAGCTCCTGGATCTTGTTTTCTGCACCAGTCTCCAAGAATTTCTCAATTTCCTGCAGGGCTGCTTCAGCCCCGTCCTGGGACTGGCACTTGTCCACAGGCTGCGAGGCCAGCAGGTAGATCCCCTGGTCACACCACTTCATGGACTGCGGTCACAGGGTGCAACAGAGGAAGATGTACCGTCAGGGGCAGGACTTGCTGTGGTGCCCATTCACCTGTCTGGTCTGCCATACTTCTGCCCCAAGTCCACAGACCCCCATGGGAACAGAGCCCTCCCCAAGGATAAGCCAGACCCACATGTACGTTCACTGAGGAGACAAGTGAACACATGGTTAACTAGCACAGCGAGTTCCAAGTGAATTCTCGGAAACAGACAACTCATCAGGACACGACCCCCCAGGCCAACGGGAGAGAAGACCACACAGAGGAAGTGCTGGCTACTCTGAGCCAGTGTGTCTGACTGCTTGTGACCAGTGTAGAGTGGCTGCCAAGGCCAGGGGTGTGGCTGGCAGCAGTGGCCAGGGTGTGGCTGGGGGGCTGTGGCCGTGGTCAGTGGTGTGGCTGGGGGGTGGGGCTGGCAGCCCCAGCTAATGTCTCCAGGACCAGGATGCTTACCGTCTCCAGGAGGCTATGCAGTCCCAGGGCCTTGGTGAGTAGCCCCCGTCTCCTCCCAACCTCAGCTGTGAACTGGTCACAGAGGTGCCGGAGTTCCTCACACTTGGGGCGGATTGAGTCGATAGCATAGTGCTTGTTCTCAATAAGCTGCTCACCATCCAGACACAGAGCCCGGGCCCTTCCCATGGCCACCTGCAGGACAGTCATCAGAGACCATTCAGGTCATTTCTGTCAGAGGCAAATGGGGCATCTGGTCACAAAGGGGTGTGACCCAGAAGCACGGATGCCTGTCACTTTCTCTTATATGGTCAATTGTAGTGCCACTCAATACCCTGAGGGGTTCTTGGGCAAACACCTTGGGCACCACAGTGGTCCCAGCAAAGGCACTGTCCATCTGCAGCAACTGACTCAGAGGTCCCAGGGCAGGGCCAGTACCTGAGGATGGGCTGGTGGTAGAGGAGGGGGCAGCTGGAGGGCCCCTTGACCCTGGCCTACACATGGTACCCAGGCTTCTCCTCCCTGGCAGGAGAGCCCAATCCCTGTGCTGTCTTGAGCAGCATCTGGTGAGCCCGCTGTGCTCCCCCACCTAGCTGACCCATGACATTGCCCTCACACTGGATTTCTCCTCAAAGCTGCTGAGATCCTTCAGCAGGTGCTCCACGTGCGCCAGGCTGTTGCCAACGTCGGTGAAGGTTGCAATCTTCTGGGACACCACATCCAAGGCAGCTTTGACCTGAATAGAAGAGGGCCTGGCTCAGGGGGCGTCTCCCACCCTGACAAAGAGAAGGCAACAAGGGATGGAGGTGGGAGGGAAGGGCTCTTACCTATCCCTGAACCTGCCACAGGTGGCATAATATGCACATGTTATCTGTGGCCTCTCCAGTTACACATGACCTCCCCCTTATATCTCCCACGTACAGATATATACAAATATTATATACTATAATAATGGAATATAATACCCAGAGTAGCCACTTAAAAGTGGCTATTCACTATAGATGAATGAAAATGGAATTCTAAAAAATGTTCAAGTTACCACAGAAAGGAAGGAAAAATAAAACATAGAAAAGAAAAAAAGGAAAAGAACAAATAGAAAACACAAAATAAAATGGCAGACTTAAGCCTTAACTTACCAATAATTACATTAAACGTAAATGGTCTAACATACTAATGAAAAGATAAAGCGTAACATGATCCATCCATATTATGTTGACAAGAAACTCACTTTAAGTATAATAGTATAGGAAAGATGAAGGTAAAAGCATGAGTGGCTATGTTAATACCAGGTAAGGGAAACTCTGACACAAAGAAAACAGCCAGAGATAGAGAAGAATGTACTACGATAAAAGAAAACCACAGTCCTAAATGTTACAACAGGGCTGCAAAATACATGAAGCAAAAACCTACAGGACTAAAAAGAGAGATAGTCAAATCCACATTTACAACTGGAAGCTTCCACACCCCCCTCAGTAACTGTAAACCAATGAGATAGAAAATAAGCTGATACAAAATCATTCTAAACCATTAACCAAGAAATAGGATCCAACTGACATTTATAGAACTCCCCCAACAACAGCACAGTACACATCCTTTCAAGTGCCTGGAGACTGTATACCAAAATAGACAATATCCTGGGCCATAAAACAAGCCTCAAGAAATGCATAAGAATTGAAATCACACAGAGCAGATTCTCCCACACAATGAATCAAACTAGAAACCACGCATAAAAGGAAAACAGAGAACTCTGGATACTTAGGAGCCAAACATACTTATAAATAATGTATGGGTCAGAGAGAAAGTTTCAAAGGAAATCAAACAAAACTGAACTAAATGAAAATGAAAATATAATTGATCAAAATTTGTAGGAAACTTACAGCATTCCCATTAAATATGTATATTAGGAAAGAAGAACAAATAAATAATTCAAACTCTCACCTCAAGAATCTAGAAAAAGAAGAGCAATATGAACCCCAAAATCAATCCAAGTAAGTAACAGAGCCAGAAATAAATTAAATTGAAGACAGAAAACGGTAGAGAAAGGGCTGGTTCTCTGAAAAGGAGAAGAATGATAAACCTTCTCTGGCAAAGAATAAAAAGAAAGAAGAGGCAAGTTACCACTGTCTGAAATGAGATGCAATGTCACTGCAGACCCTGTAGACACCAAAAAGACCAAGAGGAAAACTATCAACAACTCTACACACAGAAATTTCACAACTTGGAGTGAACTAGTTCTTTGAAAAACACACTTGTGGCATTGACAGAGGATAGATATGTCCAGTAGAACCTCATAGCTGAGCTCCCCCTGCACTGCCCACCTCCTCAAGGTGACCTGATTTCCACTGACTTGGGCATGCACCACACGGATGTATCAGTAGAGCAGGCCCAGTCCCTCATGACAAGCACCTCCATATGTTGACCAGCTTGTCAGTCCTTGGAGTGGTCAACTCACAGAAAAGAGAATCCCCCAAAACAGACCCACACAAATAATGCCCAAGAGTTGTGACAAAAGTGGAAGGGAAATCCAGTGGGGGAAAGATGGGCTTTTCAACAAAGAGTGCTGGAGCTGGACCTCCAGGGTGAAAATTCTCCTGTGAATTACTCGAGTGAAGATTGCCCGTCCCAAAGCTCATGCTCTGTAAGAGGCCCCTGTTGACACACAGCACAGTAGAGGAGTGGTGGCTGGCAGGGTTGGGGCAAGTGGGCTGGGAGGAGGTGGGTGTGTCTGCAGAGTGGACTGGGAGGGGGCCCGTGGACCCATGCTGTGGGCTGGATCAAGGGACAGAGCTAAGGTCCATATCGTGCCTTTGACCCCATCCTATAGTTGGCAAGTTGTTACGATTGGGGGAAACTGGGTGAGAAGGTCCACGGGTTCTCTGGATTATTTCTTGTAATCACATGTGAAACTGCAATATCTTTAAATACAAATTTTAATCGAGAAATGTCTTCTTCTCTGGAAAGCCCTCCTCACTCTCCATAGAAACATGCTGCAAACCATCCTTGCCTCCATGTGCTTCTATGGCACCCTGTCCCCATTGTCACATGGGTGAGTTAAGGACATGGTGAAGTCCAGAGCTCAGCACTGATCCTCCTCCTGGAAGGCACAGTCCTCGCCCGGACAACATGGGACTGAGCTGTGCTGTCCATTACAGGTGGACTTCCCTCCACTATGCCACCCCTGAGACAGACTCCTTTCTTCCTGTCCCCCTCACCCCCTCGATAAGAGGACGACCACTTCCGCTTCACGGGTAGTAAATGTATTTTCTTTTCCACTGATTGTCTTAATGACATCTTCTTTTCCCCAGCTTATTTTAAGAACACAATACAAAAGAATAAAACGCACAAAACATGTGTCCATCTACTGTTTATGCTGTCAGTAAGGCTTCTGGTCAATAGCAGCTATCAGTCAAGCTTTTTCAGTCAGAAGCTACGTGTGGCCTTTTGACTGCGTGGGGCTGTGCCCCAGCTGCACTGCTGAAGGGCCAGCCATGTGGTGCTCAGTGGATGCTGCTGACCCAATCCCATGTTTCCCAACAGTGCTGTGCTGGAGCTCTCTGAGGACACACGTGTACAGAGGTCCTTGATGTCTTCTGAGAACTGCCCCTGGGTCCTGGTCTCCTGGCACTGGCTGGCAGACTGTCTCAAACCAACTTCACTGTCCTAGACCTGGATGACATTTCTATTCCTCCAGCACCGACTGCAGCTCTCCAAAGGGCAGGAGAAGCAGTGCTTATGGGGTACACATTGCCTCCCACCAAGGCAAGACCCCTAAGGGGGTCTCGACATGCGTGTTCTACATGACAAAGGAGAAACGAGCTGGATGCAGCATCTCCAAGGGTTCTGCAGAAGCTGGGCATCACAGTGGACATGGCCTGTCACATCAACCCCAGGCAGGATGACATGTTTGTCATCACAAGGGCTTCATGCCAGGAACAGGGAAGCACAGGATAAGTGCATGCTGGACACAGGGGCACGGGGAAGAACAGAAAGAGAGAACGAAGGCTCCCAACCAGTTCTCGATGAAACTTAAGTCCATGAGCTGATTTTAACTGATGAGCTCATCAATCGCATCTCGAGGATCGGCCTTTGTTGACCTCACATTAAACCAAAGCCACCTGTATAACTTAGCTCCCACTGCCTCTGCCACTCACCTCACGGAAACCCTGCTCGAAATGCCGCAGCTGCAGACACTGCTGGAGCTTCTGCTGATGTTTTGCCCAAAACTCATCAAAGGCAGCCTCAGTCTCATTCAGCTGGGCCAGGAGCCTGGGAGAGGAGGAGACAGGCTTCCTGGAGACGCTTCCCTGGGTGTTGCCCTTCCTCCTGCACACTGGCCCTGCACCCCATGTGCAGTGGCAGAATTCACAGGCAGGGGCTCCCAACCCCTGCCACTCTCCCAGCAGAGTGAGCCAAGTTGGTTAATTTGTAAGAGGCCAAGGAGGTAAGGGTTTGGCTCATCAAAAATGCTTTGGCCCGGGATGAATGAGCCATGGGCCACTGAGACTGCAGGCTGTGGTGGGTGGCTCAGCCTCTGACCCAAGGGCTCTTGCCAGCAGGTGCTGCCCTATGTGTAGCTGGCACTGTCATCCCGCTTGGGCTGAGCAGTCACCTCTTGAGGGAGCCCCTTAGGCATGTCCCTCCCCCCCCAATAGCCACAGCTCCCTGTGTCCCTGGCATAGGTATCTGAGACATGTGGGCCCAGCCATGGGCAAAACAGCATCGGCTTTGGCCTGAGCCTGGGCCCTAGGGCTCTGCTGGGTGAGCCTCACCCACCAGGTGGGGATGACATGCCCTGTGCAGAGAGAGGTGGCACAGGCAAACTGGGCTCCCCCCAAGCTCTGTGAGGTGGTAGCTAACAGCAGCCGGCCACACAGGCACATTACCCTGCCCCTGCTATGGGCTGAGAACCCAGGGAAAGCACACAAATCACACGTCCTATAAGAGTAAAAGGCACTAGCACTGGTGGGGTGGAAGGAACCTGAGGCTGCCACGCCGCCCCAAACAAGAAAGACCTGTGGGGAACACAGAAGCCACATGACCCATGGTCCAGTGTCAGCACTGTCCTGCCCAAACGTCCCTGTCACACCTAGAATGGCTGCTCTAAGAAAACATCCTCCCTAGAAAAGCCACTTTCTTTGGGATCCAGGAGAAAAGGATTTCAGCAGGAAGGAGCTGATGTTTGTACACAGCCTCAGTGAGGGGCGGGGACACTTGCCCGAGATCACTGCATTCTGGCCTGAGGTCTTTCTCTTGCAGGAGCTGTGAGCCCACACCTTGTCCAAAGCCAGGCAAGGGCATGCAGGCAGCCAGGCCTCACCTCTGCACGGTGGTCTGGTTGTCCAGCTGGTCCTGGTTCACACTGTGCTCCAGGCCCTCGGCCAGAGGAGTCCTGAGGCTCTCTAGGACGCTGCGGCCCTCTTCCAGTGCCAGCCTCAGGTCCTCCTGCGGGGACAGCACAGCATCAGGGTGATATTGTGAGGTGTCCCAAAAGGGGGAAGATGAAGACGTGAGGCCGTGACATGCACGGAGCACGCGGCCACCTGTGGTGCCTTTCAGGTCTTGTCTGCAGTGTGCAGGGAGGGTAGGGGGTGGGGGCTGCTTCTCTTCTCAGCGGGCACGGGCAGCAGGCCAAGGCAGAAAAGGGACCAGAAACCAGACCTCTTTAAGTGCTCCTGTGGCCTGCCCTCCCTGCTTGGCAAGAAAGGCTATCTGTGGGGGAGAGTGGCTCTCTCGTGGCAGAAAGGGCTTCAGAGCAGAGCACACAGGTGGCCTGGCACAGCACGCTGGTGTCCTACGAGCCATGTGAGTATGAGGACTCCCACAGGGGAATCCCACCCTCTGTGTTCCTGCCTACCCGGACAGAGGAGCAGCCCAGCCCTCACTTCACTGAGACTCCACAATGGCTCATGCTGTGCTGGGCAACCAAGAGCCGGCATGATGCCAACGCAGGAGAGTACAGCAGCCTGCAGTCCGGGGGATGCACCTGTGCTGCTTTTAAAAAGGAATACTGGTTCTCGCCAGAGAGGTTGCCCCAACCAACTATGACCAAAGGGCATCACTGAAACAAGCTTAAATTCTCAGTTTTGCCTGATGCTGACATGGACTCCTCCTGGGCCCCCATTCCCACAGTCTGGAAGACTCCCAGCACCCCCTGACCACAGTGCCCCACGGGGGCCGCACGCACCTTCACTTTGTCCTTCTTCTCTGTGTGTGCGCAGAGCACCGAGCTTGTTGACTGGATGTCATTGGGCAGCTCCGTCTCGGCCAGCTCGGTCCCAAAGGACTGCAGCATCTGGGCCGTCTGCTTAACCATGAGAGCAAAGCTCTCGATCGCCTTGAGGAGAAGGAAGCCTAGTCACACCGCACACCTGCCTCACCCACCTGCTGCTCGCAGGCAGGCCCCGCACGTCACCGTCTCTACGCTGCCCAGTGGGGCATCCCGCGAGGACAGTGGCCCCCAGTGTGGCAGGCTGATACAGGCACACAGGAAAAACCTCCCAGCTTCTCAGCCCACATGTTTCTTCAGAAACGTACCAGGTGGGCTTTACCAGCATCCCACTGGAGTCATTCTGCGCGGAGGTCTCTCCCCGGGTTGAGGTGTGAGTGTAGCAAACCACAACACAGGATTTTGTTGTTTCTTTCCCTTTCTTTGGTCTCTGAGCCCAGAGTAAGCCACTCCCAAACTTATTACTCATGTTATTTCTCTACAATGACTAAGGTCCACTGAGACCATCTCCTCATTCTTGGGGAAGAAAACTTGGCTAACATGTTTTCTAACATGTTCGGAGCAGGCAGCACGGAGGTGCCCCCACTGCGATGCCAGGTTAACTGTGAAATAACGAGGACCACAACCCGCCAGCACCAGCCGACTCACTGTGCGGTGGCACAGCCACCGGGTGTGGCAGTAATCCAGGGTCCCCCCAAGGTCCTCGGTCAGCTGTGACTTGTCGATGTAGCCGTGCAGATCTGGCACTGAGCTCAGCATTATGACCTAGAGCGGGAGGGATGGGCTGTGGCGTCTGGGGTTGTGTCTATTGGGGTTATGACTGGCTCCTGGCAAGAACCATCCCCACGGGTGGGACATCCAGCAGCTCAGGGAGGGCGCAGTCCTGCCTGGGACTCCAGGCAGGCTCACTGCGTGGATGAAGGCATTTGAGCTTGAGCAGACCCAGGGTTGGTCCAGGCTCTGCCTTGTCCCAGCTGTCCCCCTACCCCCAGGCCGCCATTCCTGTGCCTCAGCTGCTCGTTCACAGATGGGCACCTCATGGCTGACCACTCGGGGCACAGCAATAGTGATGGTGGCCACTGAGGCACACAGACCTGACGCTAAGCCTGGCACATGGCAGAGCCGAGACAGGGGCTCACTCCCTCCAGGCCAGGGGGAAGTGGACGAATCATCAGTAGTGCTCTGAACTGAAGGGAGGTAGTTTTGGTCCCTAGCCCTGCCCCAAACACTGAGAGGCTGTTACAGGTGCTAGGTGGAGTTGATGCTGTGAGGCCAGGCTGATGGAGGAGGCCAGGAAGAGAATGCAGTGCCAGGTGACTCCTTACCTGGGCAGCCTGTGGTTGCTGTGGCCATACCAGCTCTCCCACATGACTTCCTCATGACCTTCTGAGGTCATACCATCCATGGTTTTTCAATAAAAATAGAACCTTTGCTTTATAAGGTGTCAGACACCACAGAACAGGTCTCCAGAAGCTCAGCTCAGGTCACTGGATGCCACCTCGTGTGCTACTTAATACAGACTAGTGTAATGTAGGTTCTTATCTGGGGATGACTCTGTCTCCAGGGACAGTGCCTGGAGACATCTTGGGCTGTCACACTGGCAGGTGGACCCAGGATCACTGCTGAACCCCATAGGTCATAGGACAGCTCCACAATGGAGCGGCATCAGTATAAGTGTCACCAGCACCCACTAAGAACCACTGACTGAAACATAATCTCACTTAAAAAAATTGTTAACTTTTCAGTTTCAACTAGAAAACAGAGTTCTCAGTAGAAATGGCTCCATTCTCTCTTTGCTCTTTGATAAAATTATTCACACGCTGGCAAGTAACCTAACTTATGAGCAATGTAACCAAAGACCACCTGACAGGGCAGTCTAAGGATTTAGGTCATTCCCCTGCGACGTCCACGGCTCAGCTAATGTCCTGGCCATGAGGGAGGAAGGGCAGGACCCACCATTTAGCTCTGTGTTTCCTTCCTGGCACTGAGTTCCACGTACATCAATAAGTACAGACACGGATGCTGTTTTCACAGCCACACTCCTCTGTGATTCTTTCTGAAATTTTGAAGAACTATCTAGAATGGGCCTGGGTGTTTGAAGACCCTGAGACAACTTCTGTGAAACCCACTTTTGGCGACTCCATCACACAACACAACAGAGGCACTTTGCAGAGGAGCCACAGCACTGATGAGAGGTGACATCCATGTCCTCTGGCTGCCTGTGTGGACAGGTCTATGGTTAATATGGTCACCCTGCCAAACACCAGGGACAGAGGTCACCCCCATCCTGGGGTCATAAAACACAGCATAACTGCCCAGGAGGTGCTGACCGCCATGTGAAGATCCTCGTGTACAACATCAGCTGGTCTTAGTGTCAGGACATGGGGTGACCCCTGGTTTATGCTAATCACCTCTAGAAATGGATCATTTGGATAAAGCTTCTTTGATGCCAGAGATCATACTGGGTACAAGGAGGCCACAGGCCCGGGTGCCTGCAGCTCTCAGGCCACAGAGGCAGGGTGCACATGGAGACCCAGCAGGCCTCACAGGTGGCCTGGCTGTGCAGAGTGGCCTCTTGTCCCTGTTACGGTCCCAAGCCAGGTGGCAGAAGCGCCAGGGCAGATGCTGTTGGGTGGCAGAGTGGGTGGGCCCATGGCCTTCCAGGCAGGGTGGAGAAGGAAAGACCAGGACCCAGATCCATTCTCCCTTCCCCTCGGTCAGAGAAGGGCCAGAGTGTCTGGGGCTGATCCCAGGAGCTGCAGAGGCAGCAGGGGTGGCTGTGTAGCCTCTCAGAGAGGGACCCACACCAGTGTCGAGTTTCCCAGAGCAACATGGTCAACACTGCTGAACAGCACAGGTGCCCAGCATCCCCATTTTCTTCAGGGGAAGAAGAAACGAGCCCCTGGAGGCTGCTGACCGCAGTCCCTGCCCAGCACCCTTCATAGGGGCTGGCTCTACCCTAGTCATGGCCTTGAGGACACACGGGCTCTTGGAATCCACAGCTTTTAAGAAGCTTTGTGATCTTCGGGGTTTTTTTTATTTTAATTAATTTTTTTTTGAGACAGAGTCTCACTCCATTGCCTTTGTTAGAGTGCTGCGGCATCATCACAGCTCACAGAAACCTCAGACTCCGGGGCTTGAGGGATCCTCCTGCCTCAGCCTCCTGAGTAGCTGGGACTACAGGCGTGAGCCACTGAGCCTGGCTGATCTTTGCTTTTTAAAGGACAGCACATCAACACTAAGAAGTGTCCTTTCTTGAGGGGTAGTGCTCAGGAGAGGCTGTCGATGCTGGGCTGGAATTGTGGTATGAGGCAGGGTGGCCCTGCCGGCTGCCCTGGCCAACACATCCCCTGTGGGCCCCGCGGACGCCCACACCACCTCCCGGCCTTTCCCGTCCCAGGGGCTGGCAGAGTCTGGGCTGGCAGTAACTCCCAGCCCTGGGGGTCTCTTGTCTGCAGCTTCAGCAGGTATAAGGATGCATGATTTGGCGGCCTAGCAAGGTCAAGGCTTTGCACAGCAGAGACAACCAGCCCTGGGAGGTGTGGGGGGGGCGGTGAAGGGTCCTGAGCAGTGTGAAGAACCACAGATTCCCACTAGTGGCTCTGTTTGCGGCCACAGCACTGAGGTCGGCTTCTTGAGAATTTCGATCAAAGCAGATGGGCCAGAAGGCAAGTATCTGGTGCCCTAATGCAGAGCTAGCAAAGGGTGTACTTACCGGAACCTTCATCTTAAAGTCATCTCTATTGAATTTGAAAGCGATGTCAGAGAGAGTCCTTTGGAAAAATCCCGTTGGGCGAAGAACAAGGACAAGCTGTAGGTTTGCCGGGAAGGACGCCTATGAGAGAGGGGGACAGAGACGGGCCTATGGTGTCCCCCATGGATGGTATGGCCCCAATAGGGGGCACAGCCACACACTACAGTGGACCATATGGGCCAGGTGGAAGACCGGGCTCCAGGCTGCAGTGTTCCCAACAGGTCACATTTATGTTCAAATGGAAATGATTACTGTCAACTGGTCTCCTCTAGAGGCCTTGCTAATTTTTTTTTTGCAGTTTTTGGCCGGGGCTGGGTTTGAACCCACCACTTCCGGCATATGGGGCCGGCGCCCTACTCCTTTGAGCCACAGAAACCGCCCAGTCTTGTTTTTTTTAAAGAAAAAGAAAAAAGCCACATTCCTTGCTTGGTGCAATTATATTAAGCAGCTTATAAACTTTTTTTTTTTTGACACAGAATCTCACTGTCATCCTCGGTAGAGGGCTATAGTATCACAGCTCACAGCAACCTCAAACTTTTGGGCTTATTAAGTGATTCTCTTGCCTCAGTCTCCCAAGTAGCTGGGACTACAGGCACCTGCCACAATGCCTGGCTATTTTTTTGTTGCAGTTGTCATTGTTGTTTAACAGGCCCAGGCTGGGTTCAAACCCGCCAGCCCTAGTGTATGTGGCCAGTGCCCTAACCCCTAAGTTACAGGCACTTTAACAGACAGTTTAACTTCCCATCTGGACCTAGAGAACACTGTCCTCTATCACTGGGCAGCTGACCAGCTCATCTGGGCCTAGAGGACACTGTCCTCTATCACTGGGCAGCTGATCTTCTGGTCCAGGCTGGGTGGCCACTGGTCCTGCCCTGGGAGAGGAAACCAGTATGGCATATGCCCTCCTGGGCCCCTGCCATGATGGTCTCTGCACATGTGCAGTCTCACCTGGGAGGACAGGGGCTGTGCATCCCGAGTCACTGGCCATGGCAGGTGCTTTACTGTTGGGGGGTGGGGGGTGGGGAAGAAGCAGCTGCCGGCTCTGAAGGGTCCCTTCTGCCAGACACTGGCCTCCAAGCTTGTCCCCTCTAGGAAGTGGCGCAGAGGCGCCTGGTCTCTCCACAGCCACTCCCTCTGCCCCACTACCCACATGGCGTGGGGACAGACTGCCACGGGTGTTGTACATTCTGTAGGCGGCACACACAGAGTGCACAGGGCCATGCCACTGCCTTCAGGCTGAATTACAAGTGAGGAACCACGAACACGACCCCAGTGGACAGTACCTTCCTCCTTTCGGCCCATTCCTGACAGCCTGCGAACATTCTGGCAGTCCTACTCCTCTGAGAGTCGGAAGCTTGATTCTGGGTCACTCAACAAGAGGACCTTGAAAACCAACACTGCTGTTGTGAAGTCAGCCAGCCTATTTTAGGATAGACACCCTGACAGACTCTTTTTCTCGAGGTAGCAAGAAATCACGCCTTTCTAAATTTCAGGTAGTTTACTACCTTGGATTCCCACACCATGGAAGACAGACTGACTATCTGGCCTTGCTGCCCTCTCCAGCATGTCCCCCCAGATTCCCCCAGAGCCCCAGGGGAGGAGGCTCAGCCCCTGCCCGAAGGGGACAAAGGCTGCTCGGACCATCCCAGGAGGCATAGTCAAGAGTTAATCAAGATTCCACTTTTCTTTTCTCAGCTTTAGTCTTTCTATTTTTTTAAGTTATTGAACCTTTATATTAAACAGAATTGATTAGGTGATCCTAGCCAGGTGAGAGGGTTCTAATGGTGTACGCAAATACAGAGGGTGCCAAAAACGTGTGTACACGTTTGAAGAAAGGAAAAACTATACTGACTGGAAGTCAACCACTTGTGACTTCCACACTTTCAAGAGGCGCCCAAGGCGGCTTGTACTCAGCTTTTGTTATCAGTATATACTGAGTATGACAATTTTAATAGTCTTTTCCTTTCTTAAATGTGTATACATTTTTTGGTACCCTCTGCACATACTTTTAATATAAATAATATCAAGTTAAATTTTCTCTGAGTAGGGGTCAACAATTTGTATTAAAAGTTAGGGAAAGGTCCAAAATGAAAACTTGATTTTAAAAGACAGAGGTAAATGTAATCAGGCAGACTTGGGGTGAGCTGTAAGACAATGTCTTTCTGTAACTCAGTGTCATGGTGACCATACCAGGTAATAGGTTCCATCTAACATGAAAACAATACTGCTTATTTCCTGGTGCTGACCTGGACTTAGGGACCAATAGACATAAGATGCGGTGACCATCACAGTGGAATTTAAAGACAGAGGAAGAGGAGTTCCCAACTTCTGAATCAATATTCTTAGTGACTTACAGTGTAAACTGCATTGTGTGCAGTTACCAACGTAACTCCAGCCAGTGCGGCATGTTAGGAGCTCTGGGGATCTGGTGCTTTGGGGAACCCTGTATAAAACACCTTCCCCTAGCTGTGGTGAAAACCCTAGAGGCTGCCTGGGATGACTCGTAGTTGGATATTTTTTTTTCTCTGTTCATCTTTTTGAAAAGGTTTTTTTTAGGCTGGACTCAGTGGCTCACACCTATACTCCCAGAACACTGGGAGGCCAAGACGGGTGGATTGCCTAAGCTTACAAATTTGAGACCAGCCTGAGCCAGAGTGAGACCTCGTCTCTACAAAAATAGCCTGCCATTGTGGTGGACGCCTGTAGTCCCAGCTACTCGGGAGGCTGAAGCAAGAGAATTGCTTGAGCTCAAGAATTTAAGGTTGCTGTGAGCTGTGATGCTGTAGCCAAGGGTGACAAAGTGAGACCTTGTCTCAAAAAAAAAAAAGTTTTAAAAAACTTTTAACTTACAGATAATACTTGTACACACCAGGGGATGACTGTATCATGCTGATACAGGGGTCCTCAAACTTTTTAAACAGGGGGCCAGTTCACTGTCCCTCAGACTGTTAGAGGGTCGGACTGTGGGCCCCGGGACGAGTTGGCTGCTAAGCAGGACAGGCAGCAGTGGCAAAAAACACCCAGCAAGCCGGATAAACGTCCTAGGCGGGCTGCACGTGGCCCATGGGCTGTAGTTTGAGGACACTTGGATTAACATATCCAACACCTCATATGCTCACTTTTTTCAAACAAAGTTTAAGGTTGGCGGAACAAGCTTGGTGCTGTCAGATCCAGTTCATCAGCATTTGCTAATTACCATTTTCTCTGGTGAGAACATATAAAACCCACTCTTGAAGCAATTTTGAAATACATATTTGCTATGGTTTGAATGCCTGTCTCCTCCAAAACTCCTGCTGAATCTGAACCTCCGATGTGGCGGTGCTAGGAGTTGGGGCAAAGAGGGGACTGAGGGCCCCATCCCATTCAGGGATTATTGGATCAGGGGATCAGTGGTTATCGGCAGGGACACTGGTGGCTCTGTACAGTCAGACAGATGCCTTGCGCAGTCTAGGCATCTACAGAGAGGCCCCATCAACAAGAAAGTGGCCCCTCAGCCTTGGACTTTTCAGCCTCCACAACTGTAAGAAATAAATCCCTTTTCCTTGTGAATTGCCCAGATTCAGGGATTCTGTTATAGCAACAAAAACAGACTACGACAGTCTGGTCACTGATGATAGTTCCTCCCCAGCTGCCCAAGAGGTGTGGGGAGGAGTGGGGAGTTGCAGCAGCCGCCAGGCTCATGGGTTTCAAGGTCCAGTGAGACAGACAACAGAGAAGGGCTGGGCTGCCTGAGCCCTCCCATCCCGCTAACATGGCTAAGACCATTAAAACACCAGTAGAATAGACAACAGAACAGCCAAGAGGAGGAAGGATAGCTGCTCAATTCCGGGGGACGCTCCTTGTAGCAAGTCTAGGGCCTCCTCCCCTCAGGACTCCTCTGCCAGGACCAGCACTGTCCCCAACAGTTGGGACCCTTGTGGAGGACAGAAGCTCAGCTTTGGAGATGGGAAGGGTGGACTGCCCCATGTGCCATCCTGCCCACCTGCAGGTCCCCCAGCCCCATGACAAACACATGGGGCAAGCTAAGTGCATTTTGTGAGAGCAGCTAGTGATCATGAGGTGCTCAGTAGACACCTGTCCCCCCACACAGGGTTCAGCCTGGGCCACGTCCACCTGTGTGGGCACTCACTGTGCAGGTCAGCCTCACATGGGGCTGGGGCTCCAAAGTGTGGCCAGGCATCCCTGCCCAGCCCCCTGCCCTTTGGGATCGGTCTGGAATCCAGACTGCTCCCCAAAGCCTGTGCCCTCCTGCTGCCCGCCACATGCAACTGCCCCCTGCAGCTTTGTTCCCAGGGAAGCTCCGGCTGCCCACCCCAGCAGTGCCCACCTTCCATCAGCACCCTCAGGGCTGCACCTGGTCCGCACAGCCTCTCACCACCATCCACCCACCTGCAGGGTCCCAGGAAGCTCACAGGGTGGGAGCCCAGCCATGGCATTTCACACATTAACATTGTACCAAACATGAAATGTTTGCTGGATGAACTCAAGGCCCTGGGCCCCTCAGGGACTCTGTGCCTTGTGGGCAGACAGACTGCTTCGGGGCTTTATGGGCAGAAACCAGAGTTCTGCTCCCACACAGACTCAAAATGGCTTTAAATTCGATTTTCTTCAGCCACATACTGCAGGACAGAGATTTTGTTTGAAACAAGCTAGCTCTGTCACAAAGTCCAAGAACGCTGAAGGGTACCACACATGCTCCGGACAGTGCAGGAAGCTGACGTGGTGCCCAAGAGGCCAGCCGAGTGTGTTCCAGGGGTGCACCAAGGAAAGCCAAGCCCTCGAGAGGTGACGTGTATGCTCTCTAAGGAGAGCCCTGCCATCTTACCCTTGCTTGTCCGAGACCCTGCACCTGTAGCCAGTGAGCACACCTCCCCCCTCGGTCAGAGTCCACACGCACTGTGCCCTTGATGGAGCACTGAGTCTGATTTAGCAGAAGTGGGATTCTGGCTTTTCCATGTCCTATTTTTCTATTCTGAGCCAAACTGAAAGTATTCAAAAGAGAAAACAACCCCAAATTAGGGAGAGCTCAGCTCATGAGATGGCACACATGGTGGCTAACAACAGAGCTTTAATTATAGGGC